TTATCATTTATGCAATTGTATTAATCGCACATTAAATGATCCGATTTATTTCACTGGAACAGCAATTGATAAATTGGCAACTAAAGAGCAATCGAATGCATTTTTATTACGCAACATAGCGAGTTCATCTTTTTTTTCGATATTATTATCGATATTATTATCGGCACGCAATTATCATTAAATTACGATATTTATGCTACACTGTAACTGCGTAAAACTATGTCAGTCGCGGTAACGAACTATTAATCATTTCACGACTTGATCTTGAGAGCATTTACACGTTGAAGCAACATTATAATTTTTCTTTTCAATCCAGTTGCAGCCTAATTATTTCTCGCAAATAATCAATTAAGTATCTTATTTTTAATTTATTTTTATTTTACTTTTAATTTAATTGTAAGAAAAAATTAAGTTCATATTGAAAAAAAGAGATATATAATAATTATCTTTGATAAAAAAATACACACATAAAAAGTTATCTCAAACACGACAAAAGTGGTATCGTTCTAATGTGTTTATTTTACATTCGTGCTAACTACATATATGCAGCGACTACATCGATATATGTAGCAGGCAATTAGTGTGCACCATAAGCACATTAGTGTTGCTGATTCATTATTTACACTAGACCGCTACTTCTGCCGCAATTACTGTTCTTATGTGGCAAAGCATTCTTACTTCTCCACGAAGAGCATCATTAATCTCTGACACGTGCGCAAAGGTGTGGACATCCGCTATTTAAGTGAGTGTCATTCCAATGCATTTAGACTTGTCAGACACACGCGTGCATACTGGTTATATGTCAAATTAGTCAACAAAAGGCACATATCTTTTTCCAGAAAGACAATACGATCGCATCAATTGGGATATTCTCATTTGTCAAATGTATTTCTGTAAAATTCGTATAATTAAATCACGTTTGAGAATTGTACATTAAGTTTAATTAATTAATTAATTAAATTATATAGTAATTAAATATTTTAATTTAATTAATTTAATTAAAATATACACCTTGATTGTTATAAGTTCTCGATAGTTTTTTTTATGTTTCAATCTTGACCGACCATTTTATATTCTAATATTAATATTGTATATTATTATTTCTACGTTATTTTTGTCAGATAGTATTTGATACTTGTGTTGATACGTTTCATACAAGTGTTAGTAACAATGTGTAACCATGTGCTCAATGAGATGTGAAGCCATTAATCATCTTCTTGCTCATACCACCGTCGTGGTTGGAATGTCGCTTTTCGCGTCGACTTAAATGTATTGTAGCGGGTAAACGAGATCGAGATTGCATTGATTCTTTGTGATGTTTATTCCGAAACGATAGTGATTGGGATTAACGATACAATGACAATAAAATATTTATTGAGCGACGACTAATTAGAAAGTTTGTAAAAAATAAATTAATTTCATTACAAATTATGAATATGATTTTCTTACAATAATCAACAGTAATCAATAAAAATATTAATAGTAGTAATATAACTGATCTAAATATATAAAAATAATAAGAATATAACAAGAATCCTATATTGTAATAAAATTATAATATTATTATAATATATTATTACATTATGTTATAATTATAACGAAAATAATAAAATTATAAATGTAAATTCGTTAATCAGAGATTTATAGACTATAAATAATAATCAAACATTTGTTTGGTTTTGATAAAATTTTCCACTATATAAAATTCATAAAATCATATTTAATTTTGAATATCATTTGCAACAAGTATTGTATATGATTAGATAGTTTTAAAATGATAATCTATTCTGAATTATGAACTCTATCTTTTGAATAAATAAGAGGCTTAAGCAATTTATAATGGTTAGGTAGAGCAAACATCAGTCAATTGGCTGCTAACACATGACACACATTCCTTTTTCTTTCAACTACTTTCATAAATTTAATACTAAATACATACCTTTAATTGAAAATACCTTTTAAATATATCTGATATGTGTGGTATAAAAGATTTAATTATTATTATAAAATTGAAAAATTAAAAACTGTAAAATTATTGAAGCTACAGATGACGATTTCAAATCTTCTTTATGAACAGAACAATCCAAATGTGTAAGAAAATTCGTGATTGAGATCAATAACTTGACGATTTTACAAACTTTCTAATTAGTCGTCGCTCAAAATGCAATAAAAATATACATTGCAAATTTAATTTTTAGACAATATTAAGATTAATTTTTATAATTCTATTTTTAACACACGCAAACTTACTCAAAGGCGTAATTATGACACCAACACATAGATTGAAACTAATGGCTTCAGCCTCACGCAAAAATACGTCATACACAAAGTGGTATTTATACGAGGCTGTATCACGAGCTTATTAAATAGCACATCACGTACTTGATTGCGAGATCTGTGGCGATGATACTATAGTCGTCAACAACTTTGCTGTTAAATGCGACACGATGCAATAGTGATGTTATAAATTTAACACTGCCGCAAATCGTTGGTCGATAATCGTTAAATATCTCGCAACGGTTCTGGGCGAATGATCAGTGATCCGGAACCGAGGCAATTTACGATGGAGGAAGGAAGGTTTGTTCGAGTATCGATTATCCACGGTCATAGTTAGCAAAAAAGCATCGTACCTTTCTTTGACGCCTTGGATCGTTTCTTACTCTCTTTGGGATAAAACAGGATCTGCGGCGCATACTTTAATAGCCAATTAATTGTATCTTTTTACATCGCCAGTTTACATCGGGTCTCTTAAAAATTCTTATCAGAATATTGAAGTGGTTTAACGAACCCTAATCGATTTTCTCGTTTTCCTTTAGGCAACCATTTGTAGGTATCATTTTTACGTATAGTATATGTTTTTAAGAAGCGGAAATAAAATATCGACCTTGAATGTACTGAAACCAGACGTAGTGGCGAAGTTAATTTTCGTTTACGCTGGCTGTTATCCAATAGTAAAATTTAGCAGTCGTTGGAGAGTTGAGACGAGTATGTAATGACTACATACATTATAACTGCAGAAATATCCAGTAACGATTCCTGCTTGGCACGACAGTTCGCATATTTACTGCGGAGTATTTTAAGTGGCAACGATAATATGTTAGTTTTGTACGTTAGGCACGTTCTAATATAGTCGTATGTGTAAGATATATTATTGGCAACTCCCCTCATTTAGATCCTACAAACTAAATATTTACCGATGAAATCTTTTAGTAAAACGCTTTATTAATAAAGTGAATAATGGAAAGTAAATAGGTTCATCTAAACTATTTATTCATTATTTATATCTGCAGGTAATTCTCACTTGTGAGTAATATTATTTCTAATTCTTTTGATCGTGAATACTCTCTCACTTCTCTCTTAGGAAAATGATTTGACTAAAAATGAATAAACCAAAAGAGATTCTGATTTAGCAATTTTCAATCAAACCACTTTTCTCAGAGTAAAGTTTTATATATGTAAAATCATCAATTATTCTCTAGCAATATCACACACTGTTCCAAACGAGACTTTCGATGCAAGAAAAAGATCTTCAGGTGTAAAAAATCACATTAATAATGTTATTCATATATTATCCACTTTGGTATTGAAGACGAGAAGCTTTTCCGTGAAGCGTTTCGAGAATAAAATGGAATTAAAAATATCGGGTGTGCAAGTACGATGGAACTTGCAAATTGTATTTTATATTGTGATGGTATTTTAAATGTACCATCGCGACTTCAAACAAATTCTCACATGTTTACGTGATTTCCATGACACCACATGGCATTATCTTCAATGATGAAATCGTAAATGTTTCTTCTAAGACGAAAAACCCAAGATTTTTCATCGATCTTCTTTATATCTTTTTCAAAGTTGTCTTCACGTGTTACTGATTTTGGGTTATTAATTTTGCAATAATTATTGAGTATTTTATAATACTTATCAAGCGTCAGCTTATATCAAAATACATACGTTCGTAAATCATTTTCGAGAACATATTTTCCTACAAATGTCAGGTTCCGCATATGCAGAAACAGAGTTCATATTAAAGTTGATAAAGCTCTTGAGAAAAAGAAATAAACACGTGCGATTCATAGTCAAAATTTAAGTAATTTAAGAATGAAGAATAAATTATTTACTGTAGTTCCTTCTGCAAATATTTCTATTTTACATTAAGTACAGTTTAATGTATTGTATGAAACTGACATTATAAAGCAAGACAATTATTCTTTCTTGAAAAAAAATTGTTCCGACCTTTTACATATAACAATGATAAAGCTTCAACTTTTTAATAAAATTACGATTTCAGTATTTAGACTTTTAGTATTTATACATCAATTTTAATATGATTTACATCTGACATTTGTAAATGTTTAAGATATCTTCTTGTTGTTGCGCTGGTTCCAATTAAGTTTGTATCAATTTTTAAATGAATTTTCACTTAATTTAAGCATAATCAATTTTCGTTACTACTCCATGGAATTCAAAATGAGCATTGTCAAGAAGTAATCAAATCTAATTACGAACTTCGACAATAATTAATAGAACGTGTTAAGTTTCGAAAATTTAGTAATTATACATAATTCAAGGTGGAAATAAATGATATTTAAATAAAAATGGATATGTTAAATATATAATACATAGTAAAATTACATTTTGCGCGAAATTCTGGTGAATAATTTTCGAATGACGAATTATTGAGGCTATGAAAAAGAAAAATTCAAGTTAATATTTTTTAATATTGGATTATTTATCATACACTTATTACTTTTTACTATATAGTAACAGATAAAAAAATCTTCATTTAACTTGAAATATTTTATACTCAACATCTCATTATATGTTATAATATTTATCATTTATTGCTATATAATAAAACACATTTTTTAAAAATATTTAGATCTCACTTAATATAATTAATTTAAAAATTAAAATAGAAAATTAACATGTATTTGATAGTACTTTTTTCAAAAGTGTTTTATTTCTTTACCACTTAACAAAAATATTAAAAAATGTCTTACCTTGAAGAATCCACTTTTTAGCAGATTCCAAAAAACCATTAAATTTGATCCTCGAGTCTATTTCACAGGCATACTTGATGAGAATGCGTAAGATTCGCTCTATCTTTGAGGGATTACGCCACACTGTGAAAGATTTGTACATCTCATGCAATGTGTATATTAGTAAATTCGAGAGACCATCTGAAATACAAAAAAGATTCAAACGTGAGAAAAATATGTTATGTGATCAATACGTGTTGAATAAATATATGCATGGATATCTGAACTAAAAGAATTTGTGGAGAGGGTTAATAATGGATTTAAAGATAAATGGAGTCTTAAAGCCAATAGAATCGCGGACAACAGTTCTCCGACAGTTACGTTATGACATATTAGACATTACGGCAACCAATGATAGCGCATCTGGTAGTTGTGACTCCGCCTACTAAAGAGTCCCGGATCGTTTTAAAAATAAGGAAATGGCCCCTTGCCTTTCATGCCCTCGACAATCGTCTATTCTTGAACACCAATACTGTCCTACTCGTAGTTAATGTCGATAGCTCCCTTTTTCTCCCTCTACCGCTGAGAACCCGACCGTACGACCCAGCGGAATAGACAACGGCGCGATGCAAGTGCTGGAACGCTTGGTGTTGGTTCCCTCCTTTTACGCACCCAGGTGTACCCGGCCAACCACATTCTACTGTGCGCGCGTGTGCACACGATGAGAGCGAGAGAGGAAGAATAGAGAGCGATGGGGGAGGAGCCGAGACGGGAAGGGTTCCGGGGAAAAGGACGAGGAGCCCGTCGATATGGAGAAGGGGTGCAACGTGCCTTTTACGTAAGTTCGCGCGCAGGTGCGTTTGGCCCACTGAACTACAATACTACTTAAAAGAACATTAATCCCATATGTGTATTAAAATTTACTACAAGAGAGATTGTTTTCTTAAACAAAAATTCAAGCTTTTGACTAGGATTGAGAGAGGCAATGTCATCTTTTCTCTTGGCTGACTGATGATTCATGTACTATGAAGTCTTATCATATGCTATATCAACGATATCAATGATATATCAGCGATATCAATTATATATGCTAGATAGATTTTATATTCATCGTATATAATGTTACTTCTGTAAGATTTTTTTACTTTACGTATTGCAATACAAAATGATACAATTTTTTGTGTGAGCAAAAAAAGATTTTATATTCCTATCAATATATTACTTCGTGACCACGTCATGACATGGCGATTGAAGAATTAAGGTTTCTTTTTCATTTTTTACTCGTCTTGCGTCGTAAGAGAACGAAGCAAAGAAGAAATTGTTACCCGGAAACTCTCTTATTTCCGTTCTCCAAGTATACACTGCTTACCACGAACTTTCTCCATGCGACGCCATTTTACATTAAATGCACTATAATACGCGTAAAGGAGGACATCGTAATATAATATAACAAACATTTAAAAGTCTATTATTAATCCTCTGCAATCAATCTTGAACTTTAAGCAATCACATAAATGATGTATCATTTAATCTTTATGAAATTTAATATTTCATGTTTTTATATATATTATACCACATCTCTATTGATAACTGAAATTAACTGTAAAATTATTAACAAATTAAACAATCAAACGTTGTAACTTTGTTTAACAAATAAACAAATGATAATATATTTTATATAAATAATTTTAGTGATAATTTTTCACTTAATTAAGTTGTAATTAGGAACTAATCGTTACATTATCTTTGAATATTAGTACGTCCTTTTAAAGCTACACTATTTTCAATTCTATATTGAAAACAATTAAGTTATTCATGGCAAGTTGTTCGTTTGCGCTTATTTGCTAGATTTGACTTTAAATATACCATTTAACTTCGAAACGATAGGATCCAAAAGATATGGAAAGATTTACGAGAATAACGCAAGAAAGCTGACCAATACTAAAGATACTTAAAATTTTAAATATGACTACAATATGAAATTATCTCTGCCGTCTAGTGTTTCATGAATGGATCACGTTTCTTTGTAAGAGTCTAGTCAATATATAATCAAAGAGTACGGGTAGAGTCATTTATAGCAGTTGTCATCATCGCGCGATATAAGAACTCTTTCTACACTTTATAAAGACACATCCAAATATCATTAGTCTTATTTCAACAGTCCCGCATTTAACTAATATACACTACTCGGTTTCTCTTCTGCGAAAGGATTCGGTCAGATAAGAAACGAATATAAACGTCTCGTGACGAAATATGCATAACAGTTGTCTATCCTGTCGTGTCGTTCACGGAACCAAATGATATCGTTCGTAACACTCCTCATATTACGTAATCGAACCTGCCGATAATAAGAGCATAGATTACTGACAATGAGAATCGCATAGCAACAGAGTGAATTTAAACCCGTGATAAGGTAAGCTTCCTTTCGGTTGAGAATTACAAAGTAGTAGAAAATTGCTGAATGCATACTGTTTAAGATATTTTTTCGTATTTTCTATTTATGATTTGTAAAAGGAGTCAATATCCTTTGTTTACAAATTAATATTAGAGCCTTCTTATTAATTTTTATTTTTAAATTTTTAATATTAGATTGTAATTTGATATTTCAGACATTTATATATAATTACATGTTTAAATTTTTATCAATGACAAAATTTTAATATAACAATTTGTCTTATACAAATTATAATAATTTGTTATGTCTTTTTGTAAAATACTGCAAAAGATAAGATTTAGGCAACCGGTTACCTAAATAAAACCTGTAGGTTTTTTAAATCGTATTTTCTTTAAAAGTTTAAATTTCTGAATAAATATGATTAAGAATATGAAATTAATAAACGGAATCATTAATTGATTCCGTTTATTAAAATGACTTTTCCAATCTTAGCACAATTTTAGTGTGTAATTAGTTATCATTACAATCGTTACATTATAAAAAATTGCAATGTCATTATCAAACCGTTTATTATAAAAAAAAATAACGATAAAAGTAATTTATTATCCCTATTAATTAATATAGGGTTAATAAAATATTAAGGGATGATTCCAACGCACATTCAGCAATTCTCTCCTGTATAACAAAAGAGGAAGAAGTCATGCATATAGGAGCTTATTGAATTAATGTTCATATAATAAATACTGCTACAAGTAGGGGGGAAAGTCACTTAAAAAAACAAAATCTCATTTCGTAACATATTTTCGAAATAATATCTATAAAATGTTTTTTAAATAAGTATACGCATATATATAATATAAATATTATATATGTTTGTTCTATATAAAGGAGGTATTCGACATCTAGACACAAAGGTACGTATGTGTATTAATATATTTGCTAATGTCAACATATACTGGTCATGTTGTCTGAAGTCGCTTTAAGGAAGTGCATACTCAACATCGAAATTTGAAACCAGTAGATAAGTATTTTCATGTATATCCTTAGAAAATAAATAAATATAGTAAAATAAATAAATATATTATTTTTAAAGCCCACGACAAAGCGCGCATTTCTAAAATAGAAAAATATTATCTTAAGAGGATATCTTAAGACAATAAAGATATTATTAAACGCAATAAAAGCAGCATGTGTGTGTAAAATATAAAAACATAATCTTATCGGAGTACTATCGGCTTTATAAAGATATGTTATCATAAATAAATAATGTACATTTACTTTTTTGCTACCTTCTACAAAAAGTATAAAATATTGTCAGAGAAGTGCCATTTGAATTAGATTCCTATAATCGCATCAGAAAAACTGGGAAGGTGTTACAGAATCAACAAAAAATTGATAAAAAAGTAATTAACTTAAAGTCATATCAAATCAATATTTAACCAATATATCATACACAAGTTTAACCTATAATAAGCAAATAATATCATAAAATAGCACTGTAATTATTTTATCGATATATCGTAATTAGCGTTAGATCATAAAAAAGCAATAATTAGCTTTAATCTGTTCAACTAATAAAGATAATTATGTGAGTCTTATAGCAATGAATTCTTTGATTACACGAGAGCTCATTAAATTTGGTACCGTATCAGTTTCATCCCTAACCAAGATAGAGTGTCGCCGACTTTGTTAGATCCTCGTAAAACGTCGTATTTCTCAATTTATGCCACGAAAAATTTCTTGAGGTCGAAATGTATGTTGTAAAAAACTAACTATGAAAGACACCGCTCGTAAAACTGTTTCCAATATCACGGGACCAGTATGAACGTTAACCCAAAAGATCTGGAAGTTTGAGTCTATGTGGTGAATCGTGCCGCTAGCAAACTTTAATCCCCAAAGTCATTATGGCTTCTTGTTGCTATCGAATGTAAATCGTGCGTCCGACTCATATAAAAGGATCGTAAGACCTCCGGGCCGTCGTAAATCCTGCTATTCTCGCGCTCGAACAATTTCAACATAAACTACCTCCAAGTTACATGACTCAACGGAAAATATAAAGCGCAAGAGATTGTAGGAAGTAAAAAAAAAAACGCAAGAAAAAATAAGAGTAGTTGGTAACATTTAATCTAATTTTTTTACTTTCTTTAAGTGACTGAAAAGTATTTCCAAGACTAGATACTATTCTAATCGTAATATAAACCGGTATGTCGACGGCAAAGATGTTCAACGGCAGCAGCTATAACAGCAGTAACGACTCGTTTTTTTAACTCGTTGACACGAGTAGTCGAGAGTATCAGCATATTTCGAGCTTGTCACGGACGAGGAGCTCGTATTACACAGTCAAACGTGCCTCCCTCACATGTGGATCACGGTCCAGCATAGCATTGAACACGATGTTGTATCACGAGGCATACAGGGGTTGATACGAGCTTTGTAGCAATGATACCGTTGTGTCACCGCGCGTAATCGAAACCAAGCGTCGCGTCGCCGTCATGATACGACTGAGGGTTTCGTTTCGTCGAAAAGAGGCGCACTATTACCGTATGGACGTATAACAGCAACCTATACAAGCATGTAAATTATCATTAATTCATTAATTTAAAACTAAAGTTTCGTTTCGTCGAAAAGAGGCGCACTATTACCGTATGGACGTATAACAGCAACCTATACAAGCACATGTAAATTATCATTAATTCATTAATTTAAAACTAAACGATATAATACCCATTCGAAATATTTAAAACTAAAACAAATAACTATTTTTACGGGAGAGCTGAAAATGTCTGATTATTAAAACATATATGTA